GGCTGCAGCTCTCAAACGCCATGCCACAGGTAAGTACCGGCCCTCCCACGGGCCTGCCCAGCCATCACAGACCCATACAGGTCACACACACACTCAAGGCACTCCGACAACATGCAGGCCACACACAGTCATGCAACCCACAAACAAGCACGCACTCAGACCCAGCAAACACATCGACAGGCAGGGAACTTAGTACRGCATGCATCCTATGAGCAGAAATCAGAAATCGACTGTATGTTTCAGTCCGTGTATTGACGGGCCATTACAGCAGCATGATTTGGGCGGATGCAAATCATACATTGCGGCAAGAAGGGAAGACGCCGCGAGCTACAGCTGAGCTCAAGCCAGGTACCAGGATGACATACTGAATGTTCCCCCACGCACGCCCAGAGGGACAAACGGCCACTGGATGATGGAGAAGATATCAACACAGACTCACAGAGCAGTAATGGACATGCGGCAACGTGAAGTGGTGAAGCGAAAGCGAAGAGAAAGCAACTACCAAACTCACCTTGCGTGGTCTGAACACCCTGCTTGACTCCAATTTCGCCCGGCATTGCCGCCTCCGCAAAATGCCATGGTATTGCTTCGCATTCACGTAAACAGGCTCCTCTTCCATCATCTCTGACGGCAAGGGCATGCGTGTTTGGTGCAGACCCATCAGCTGCGGAAGCTGCAAGACGCCCAGCGAACCACCCACTCTGCTGCTCAGAAACCAAAATGTCAATCAATCTCACTGGTGAGAAGTCTCCAGAAGATACTGGGTGTGTGTTCTGATGAGGGAAAGGTTGGGAAAAACAGATTAACTTCAAAACACAAATTTGTGGAATACTCATGCCTGCTAAGCAGGCAGGATAGCTGGCATCACATGTGGTCGGCACGATCGCAAGACGTACTTTTATATGTCACAAGGGGCTAAGGGGCTCAACAGTACCGATGGGCCAAGGCGAATCTGAGCGCCCATGGAACATGATGGCTGCCGTGGTGCTGCGACAACAGACAATTTTTGCATTTCTCTGGTATCTTAGTGGGAACAAATGGGCTGCGCCATCGCGTCAGCGCTATGCCTTCGCACATGTAGGTAGTATGTACCTTTTTTTTCCAACACAAAAATGTTGAAAAAAATTCAAAAAATATCAAAAAACATATAATTTTCTAATCTTCGGGGTGCATCGACTTCTTGTCCGACTTGCCATTATTATTATTTTTTTTAATATAAAAAGCACACGCCCCTTCTATTCTGAGGGCCAACAGTCCAGTTACTTATCCCCCGAAAGCATTGTTCCTACAAGTACAATGGGAGAAAGAGACAGAAAGAGAGGGTCAGCCTCACCCTTGTGGCACTACTCGCCGAAGCAAGGGGGGGCGGAAAGGGACTGCTTCCGCACTTCCCCAATGGGCTACCCTATTGGCTGGGAGGACTACCCTACCGCTACACGGTTTCAATACGAGAGGTGATGCTATTTTGAATTTTGAATTTTCCCATTTCCATGCTGGTGCAGTGGTGAAGCGCGAAGGCTGCTTCGCTTTCGTACACGACAGTAGCTGTTGCAAAAAAAAAAAAAACATTTCCACACTTTCATGCTCTGTCTGAAGACTTTGTCTGACTTGCCATGATCTTTAGAAAAGATGACATGACGTCCGCAGTATTTTCTTAACAACAGGGCGAATGTCCTGGAGGAATCGTCACACAGCGTTGATCGCGCACAATGGCTTTGTGAAGTTTGTAGGTAACAAGCCACTGGTCTACTGGCTTTCACAGACGAGCTGAACATGCACACAGCTGACCTGAATGTGATCAGCTTCCTGCTGCACACATTCATATGGGCTCCATAGTCCAGAGTCGAGATTCATCTGGTCCCTCTGAAAGAAGAGTAGGAAATGAACAAAACAACAACAAAAAAAAACTAAATTAGTAAAAAATTACGCATGGGCCACTCACGAGCCTGCAAACGCTACCACCTTCACAGCACCCGATTGCGAATTAGTCAAGGCCCATTTCTAACCCATGATTTCCCTTATGGCGGTAATACGGCCACTAAAAATCCCGCAGTATATTCCTGTTCTTCCCTTATCGACACTCGTCAGGGTGGAGATATTACTTGATCACGCGGATCACAACCCAGTTCCAGTTCCAACTGGGGCGACTCAATATTGCCAGCTATCTCTTGAGAAGACTACCATTTCCAGGAGGAATTTCAGCCACACATCCGTCCACCAGCAGCAACCAACAGCACTCGACAGTGGCTGACTGCAGGAGGGTGTTAACACTGATGTGCTCCCCCCCCCCTCTCTCTCTCTCTCACACACACACACACACACACACACATACACGGGCAGTCTGCTAGGATTGCAAGGTTGGTGTGAGTAAAGTCGACCACTTTTCTCTCTCAAGGATGGGTATCGCTAACTCTGGGCGATGTGGTGAGTCCTTGCTTATCCATCAGTCAAATGCATCCTTGGTAGACTTTGTCCACATTACAACCTCCTGTTTGTTCAGTCGGTGAAAGTCCAACCAAACAGTCTGTTCGGTACAGTCATGCTTTTTTTTTAGCGTCTAGCGAATATGACAACACACACACACACACACACACACACACACACACGCATACAGATGATGGGAGAAGGAGCGACAGGAGACGACTGTGCGGGCTCACGGGACTGGGGAGGTTCTGCAGGCGACCGCATTTTCCCCCCTTCTTTTCTCTCCCTCCCTCATTCCCTCTCTCTACTCTCTCGCTCGTCCTTTCTCTTTCCCTTTCTGCTGTGTTTTCAACTTTTCGTACCTCTCTTTTGCCCCCTTTTTTTTTTTCTTCCTTTTTTCCTATTCTCAGTTTCCCCTTTTTTCCCTCCCTTTCGTCTTCTTTTTCTCTTTCTTTCCCCCCTTTTTTTTATTTTTTATTTTCCTTTTTTCCTTTTTCTCTCCCTTTTTTCCTTTTTTCTTTTTTCTTTTTTCTTCTTTTTTCTTTTTTCTTTTGTCCTTTTTCTTTTTTCCTTTTACTTTTTCCCTTTTTCTTTTTAGGGAGTAACCCGGACCCGGCTCCATGAATAAAACCCCCAGGCAGTGTAAGGCCAGTTACGGGAGCAGCCCGCTCTCGGAATGTGTCGAATAAGGCCCAGGACTAGGGTGATTAGTAGGCGCACGGTATTGTAGGTAGGCCAGAGATTAATCTTGGTTTTTACGGCCCTGACTCCTCGCCACTCCCCCCTTTTCAATCTTTCTTTCTTCTTTTTTTTTTTTTGAAGTTTTTTCTCCTTTTTTCCTTTTTCCTTTTTTCCATGGCTACGCCGGACCCGGACCCGGACATTTCCGGACATGGAACCGGACCCGTGTCCGGTAGTTTCCGGACGTCCGGAATTCCGGACATTGCCGGACCTCCGGACATGGGGGGATCCGGGTGGTCCGGGACATTTCCGGACATGAAACCAGACCCGTGTCCGGAAGTTTCCGGACGTCCGGAATTCCGGACATTCCCGGACCTCCGGACATGGGGGGATCTGGACAGTCCGGATGTCTGGACAGGTCCGGAAAATGTCCGGACCATTAAAAAAAAGAAAACAAAATCTGAAAAAAAAGTATGTTATGCAGAATAACAATGCAAACCACTTTTGCCTCAGAGTCATGTCAGAATTCCTAACCAAACTTAAGTTAAAAGTCAAAAACTATAAAAAGCTTAAAAAAAGACTTAAAAAAGTTTAAAAAACTAATAAAAGGTAATGAATTATTCATAATAAAAAACTTGGRGTTGTCTAATAAATTATTATAGAGAGAGAGCATGTCTGGACCCCCCAAAAAAGCATAAATGGGCCTGAAAAACCCTCAAAACAATTTTGAGGGCTTGGCTCCTCAATGGGGAAGGGTCCTGGACCGTTTTTTTTTTTTTTTTTTTCCTCGAAATTTGGCAGATCCGGACCGTCTGGACCGGACGTCCGGATTCCGGACCAAATCCGGACCGTCTGGACGGCGGTCCGAACGTCCGGATCGTAGCCATGCTTTTTTATTTCCTTTTGTTCTTTTGTTCTTTTTTCTTTTTTCTTTTTTCTCTTTCTTTTTTCATCGTTCCTCTAGGTCCTCTTTCTGGCCGTAGGATAGATGTGTATGAATAGGTGGATAAGAGCCATAGCTTGCATCGGAAGGCAGCGATTCTCGGACGGACTTCGCGGCTATATCAGAACGGAACCCGGGGGTACTATTCATCGAATCACCATACGGTTAATGGTTCTGGCAGCAAAACAGGGCGTCCGGTTTTCGCAATCGCAAAGGGGTTGAGTGAGGTGGTGGGCGGCATGGATTTCTTCGCTGACTGGGACCTGGAGGAAGAGCAGCAAGAGATGGAGGAAGTGGTAACGTTCCTGGCGGTCGACACTTTCCCGGTTTTGCTTTCGTAACCCGACGCCTAAGCGCTCTAAGGCCAAGCGTCATGCATACCGATGCTACCAGCCCTGCTGAACATGCTTTGCCCCACCTACCCCCCTCCGCACCGGCGCGAAACGCCGCGTTCGTTCTTCTCCTCTTCCTTGCCCTTCTTCCCAACCTCGCCATAGCTGGTGCTGGTGCGATGCTGGTTTCGTGTCTTTCCGAGGGAATCTTCCTCCGCTTATCGGCTAGGCGCTTTGCATTGCTGATCGGTTGCACTATCTGCTTCGCAACCATCTTTCTCGCCAGCTGCTGCTGCCTCTTCTTTGTGCTAGGCCTCGGAGGAGGGTGTGGTTGTTAGCTAGACGTAGTGTATTGCAAGGAGCGGCGCGATGGAGCATAGGACTACGGCGGAGGCTTTGACATGCGCCTTTTTGGCCTTCCTTTCGTTTCTCTCCTTTCTTTCCTTCCTCTTCTTCATCTACTCCCTCCCCCAACCCCTCCCGCATGCCCCCTCCCCCACACCCCGTCCCTCGTCCCTCGATCCCGCAACCCCCCATCATCCCTATCTCAATGCACCCCCATCCATAACCCGACCACTACCGCCCCCCCGCCTTCCAAAGATCCTGGAAGATGTCCCCCCCTCTGATGACGCCCCACGTGGCATGGGGCAGAAAAGCGCTTTAGGGAGCTGCCACGCCCTTCCCGCGATTCGGCGAGATGATCCGTGCAGCTGCAGGAATGCGATGGATCTCGAGGAAAGAGCTGAAGCGGGATATCCCCATCCCCTCCTCCCTCCCCCCTTCTCCCCTTCCTTTGTTCCCCTTCCCTCCCTCTTCCCCCCTTCTTCTTCCTCCCCCGATCTTCCCTTCTATCCCCTTGAAACCTTACGACTGTTTGATAGTGGAGGTGCAAGGTGGGTGGCGTAATCTGTAATTGTTTCTGATTGAGATAAGAACTGGTCGTGCGTTTTTTCGATCTTTTGAAAGATTGCTTTCATCATGGTGCTTGGTGTTTAATGGATGCATTCCCCTTCCCGTCCATTATCTCCCCTCCCTCCCCTGTTACTGCTATCTCCTTCCTTTCTCTTCCCCCTGTTCCCATCCCGGGGGAAGGGCCTTACCATTTTTCTCCATTCGTCAGTTTTCGCCTAGCATCTTGTTGATCAGGTAAGGGGGTTATTCAGAGGATAGTATATGATTGTACCCAGGCTTTGCTGTATGTAGAAATGTCATCAATGGTTGTTCCGTCTTCTGTTCCCCGAGTTGTCGTCCTTCCATTTTTTTCGAAGCTTTTTCAATTTTTTTTATGAATGAATGGATCGATCTTCTATTGCTTTCATCTAGGTGCTTGGTTTTTATTGGATGCATTTTCCTCCCCGTCTATTATCTCCCCTCCCTCCCTTGCAATTTCCATTCCGTATTTCCCCGTTTGTCGTGTTTCTGTTTGACATCTTGTTGTTGGGATAGCGAAGGGATGGTATGTCATTGTATCAGCGCTTTGTTGTATGACACCAATGGTTGTTCTGTCTTCGAATTGTCACCCTTCCGTTTTTTTCGATTTTTTTTTTGAATATTTATCCCTCTCTCTGAATGGATGGATCGATCGCTGCCCCCTTGCAAAACGAAGCACCCCTACCCCCCTTCGCTTCAATTCGCCACTAGCGCTGGCTTGGCCGAACTTCATCTGATAAACGGCCTCGTGGTTACCCTCACCACAAGATGGACATACCAAGTGGTTTTACCTCGCCGCGTTGGAATATCGCCTCCCGCGTCTTGCTTTTCGCTCACGGTGTGCCAACGTTTTTGGTCGGAGTAGCACGGGCATGACGTGTCGTGCTCGTGCGAAGCGCATGTGATGTACGCATGCTGACACACACACACACACAAACGTGCAGTGTTTTCTCAGCACAAGGGACTACAGGGTTTGGCAAGGTGCTGTTGCCAGAAATGCTCCCGGTATGACCAACTGGCCTAGGACAGTTGGTACACCCCTAAACTGTTTGTTGGAATACAGACCTGAGTTCGAACTCGCGCTGGATGCAGATACGAGTAAAATAAATCTGGATAACCTAGGGCCGGTCAGTTCGATAATGATATCTCAAGGCCGTTGTCGTCTACTGAAAAAAAAAAGAAAAAAAAGAAATGCTCCTGGTATCACATGATGGTTTCAGCCTTGAGGCAACATGTCGCCCGAAACCCAAGGTGCTTTGAGCAGCATAGCTCCCAACATCGCCAAGGATGCTGCACAAGGCTGGGGGATGACAGGCTTGTGCGTTTTGGTTTCCCATGTCGGGTCTCGCTGGGTTCGACTTGGGTGCGTCCATTTTTCCATATGATGTCTACTGACCACTTCCCTGAGCAGAATTCCGAAGGGTCGACGGGTCGATTTTGGGAGCGCGTCCAGCGTGCTTTACCACACATAACTGCCTAGGCGCCAGATTGAGCCAACTGCTGGAAAGTGTTAACGATCTACCCCCCCCCAACCAGGCCCCCACGCCCCCCCT